CACCACCAGTAACGGTCTTGCGCCCATTGTAATCTCAGCACTGACACCCCCGTTAGTCAGCTATAACACAAATAACAACGTGACAACTGGTAACTCTGCGGCTCTTACACAAGTAAAATTGGCTAATTGCTTTGCGCTTCTTTCCGATCCACAGACGGATGCACTACACGACGCTAAAATGTCAGTGACGTCAATAAAATCGTTGCCACCTAAGTGTCCGTTGCTCTTGCCTTCTGACTGTAAGACAACACCACAAGACCATCTCACAGACGCGCTTCTTAAAGTCCAAAACATCGAAAATGAGCTAAACTCGGTGAAATCAGAATTGCAACATATCAACCAATTGTTAGTAAAAATTATATGGCTGGCGCAGCTATCGGATCTACATAAATCAGACAAAGTGCAAGGCCTTAAAGCAGCGGGTAAATTGCTTAACAAGCTTGCCAAGGAAGTCAACGAATGAGTCATTCGTGCACGAAATGTAATAATAGTTAATGTGCCAGATCGCATACCACTTGAGAAAGTGACACGCTTACTTCTAAGTGTATGCAAAATGGGCCGAGATTGCTGCTCATGCAGCCGCCTCCGAAAAGTGAAAAACCGACCAGGCCCAATTGTCCTCAAGTTCAGCAGCCAAGATCACGCCGAATGCTTTCTAGACTACAAGTTCATCATAAGAAAGCAAGCGAATCTCGGGCCCATACTGAGTAAACAGGACATGACGCCACTGCAAAGGGCACTCGTGTAAAATGTACCAACCCCTAATAAGCAGAGTCTGCATAATCCCATAAATATGCTCCTGAACCCTCTCCAACAGCCCCTCAGAAGAAACGCTACTGAATGGTCTCCAGTAATCGCTGCAATGACCTCTGCCAATTCAATTGTCAATACGACACCAATACTGGGCGTGCAGTTAACAGATATGCACCTGAACGCAACTCCCACGGCAAGCTCATCAATGGCCTACAACGTTGACATGGACATGTCACAACGGCAATTAAATCTTATCGCATCAGGGGTACCGGCAGTTGAAGGACAGGCAAAAGTTACGGCCACCATGAATGCGATCATGGACAGAACAGAATGCAGCGAGAAGCCCAACAGCGTGTCTGATATACATGAAAAGTACGCTGAACTCGACAGGCTGTGCTTCTTATCATCATATACCTCGTTTTCCAGTATCGTAAACGATCTCACGCAGCCTGATACTGACACAGCACTTAAGCCCAGATGCCCAAACCCAGGTTGTTTTATAACTGTCTCCACGGCTCCCCTCAAAACCACAATATTATAGCAACTAGTCGATGCCCAAAAGCGCCCAAACGGCCAAGATAAAGCCCACTTCTTTAAACTGCAAACTACGCTTTACCCCGAAACTTAGCAAAGCGACAGTCAAGGTTAATCAACCACAACGTAAGAGTTATCTCCTCGTAACTCTTAGCTCAACAACGAGTGATTGTATTAAACCCAAACCCCATACACTGCCGGCCGATATGCAGCGCCACTCCGGCAAAGCCCAACGCGATACGCAAACCGAACAAAGCATGAAAATATAAATAAATAAATAAATAGGCAACACAAATCACCCGAGCACTAGCTGGCCTCCACACCCTCGTTATGAAGCAAAATCTATTACATCAACAGCCAGGAATAAGCGGCCAAAACGTAGGAATTACTTACTTAGAACCCTAAGCCCCGCAATGCACAACCAGACCCCGATTACACTTCGCTCCTCTACCGGCCGAACTGCAATGCTGCGCAGGCAACGCCCAATAAGATATGTCGTCCTGACCAACCATACAAATATAGCCAACACAACTCATGAGGGCAAAACTAGACCTTCACCCCCCAATACATCAAGCGAAATCTCCTACAGCGACAACCGGTATTGGGCAGCCGCAACGTAAGAATTACTTAATCAGAACACCAGGCCCGGCAGTGCGTCTCCAGACCCCGCGCAAAATCCAATACACTGTTGACCAAACAGCAACATCACCAGGGCGAAACCCACGTGGGCGCAACGAACCGATGAACTCTGCAATGCCCTGCTCCCCCATCCACCCATCCCATCACGCCAGTCAACACTCCTTCAACAACACAACATAATGCCTCAAATCTCGACGACGCCTTCCGCAGTCCCTTTTTTGTGGGACGCCGCAAGTTGCGGGCCTCTTCTCCTAGCTCGCGAGGGTCAAGCGGTGGCTCACTACCAACTGCCTTGATTCCTAGACATGGCGCAACTGATTCCAACCAACACGTCTCAGGCATTCGGACGGTTCCTATAAACGCCAACCTCATGACCTACTACGGGCTAGATTTCTCGGCTCGTATGCATCATCAGTTACCTCCACATCCTTCCCCCCTCGGATTCGATGCTCCATGCTACGCCCAATTTCCCCCATTAATTTCCCCTGACCTACCCGGCATGCACCTCCACGCATGCATGCAAACAAGTCCCACACCTCATTCTGGATCGCCTGTGCTGCTGCCAGACGGTTCACTCAAGTTCAGCAATCCAACCAATAACCATCCACCAAGAGATGCCCCAACACTCCATACTACATCCTGCTTCGACGAAACTAGTAAGCTGGGGATCCACAATATGCTTCTTATCAACGCCAGGTCTACTAATCAAAAGAATCACCTTCTGGACCCGATTATTACTATGTCCAAAGCATAACTGGTTCTAATCACAGAGACTTGGCACACTGCCTGTTCGTCTGACTCACCCATCCAAATACCTGGCTACTCTTCATTCTGCAGTGGAGGCGAAAAGCGACGAGGCGGAGGATGCCTCATCTACGTCAGCGAAGACTTCCATGCATCCTCCTTCCAAGTAATATCTTTGGATAACCCGGAAGAGTCTATATGGATTCAAGCAGGTGGTGGGCACCTAGATTTCCTCACTGGTTGCATCTACATCCGACCACATATCTCAACAGCTGAAATCAAAAATTTGGTCGAGCTCTTCACCGAAGTTTCGCTGTCACCTGCACGCCTTAAGATAATCGGCGGTGACTTTAATATGCCGCACATTGAGTGGTCTACCCAGTCCTCACCTCCCAAATATAGAGCGTTTGTCGACCTTATCGTCGCGTACGACTGGATCCAACATGTTAACGTACCTACCAGGAAATCTAATGTCCTTGACCTAATATTCACGACAGGCATCAACCAAGCACGCGTTTGTGTGCTTGACAACCTTCTTGGTAGTGATCATAAGGCAGTGAAGTTAACATGCAGACTGCCCACTACTAAGCAGTACAACCTCTCCCCCAGCGAATCCTTCCGTCCTCTTCAGCGCATCGATTGGGAACGCTTCTCCACGCTTCTACGATCTCTTAAATGGGTTGCCTTCTTTCTGGCAGCAGACACAGATATGACTACCAAAGAGATATACAACCACATTATGTTCTGTCTTGACTTGGTCGCTCCTAAGTAGAACATGAGGAAACATACGAAACCGAAGGGTGTAGCTGATACTCATAGAGTCCTAAATAAACTGAGAAAAATGCGCTCCAAATACAACAAGACAAATATTTCCACATAATAATGCGCATGAACGACATGCTAACAAGGTGGAGAAATCTGCAAGCTACGTCTGCCACATCAGCGGAACACGCTGCACTCAGAAGTACCAACAAGGTTAAAGCACTCACCCAACTTATGAAACGCAGAGCAAACAACTGAGCTCCCACAATTGCCCCATTATCACTTCCTAATGGCAATCTCACGACGGACCCCGCCCAACTCTGTGATTATATCAACCAGCACTTTTGCAAGTCCTTTTCGGTCCCTGATTCGACAACATCACCTACAACGCCCCTACTCACTGACGATGGACTGACCATCATCGAATTTAGCCTACGCGTAATCATGCGAGATATTCGTACACTCAAAATGTCTCAATACCCCGGTCCCGATGGCGTTCCATCCGTAGTGCTGATACTAGGAGGTCCAGACATTCCAGTTCTCATCCTTAATCCATTTACACTATCCATAACAACCCATACCTTCCCCGCTGCTTGGAAGCATGCTGTAGTCGTACCGCGATATAAAAGAGGATCCCGTCTTGACAATGACAATTATCGGCCTATCAGCCACACACCCGTTGCATCAAGGGTTATGGATAACTGGTGAAAGCAGAAATTGTTAACTTTCTTTTGCCT